TAACTAGGAGTCTAGTGGACGGTATCAGTACTACAAGTAAAACAAAAAATGTAAGCTTGACTTAAATGTATTAAACGTCTAATTAAGTGACAGCAAAATATAAATAACTAGAGTCATACAAACATATTCATATTTGCTTGATTCCAGTGTTGAATATAGCACAATTATGCAAACGTTAAGGGATTTTAAGATTATGAAGTATTATCCTAAAACTCAATAACTTAGATTATTATTTATAGTCTGCTGAATAGTTTTTGTCTGCTTACCTTAGAAACGTAAAATGCGACGGGAGTGTGCAGACGGGGAGCAACAGACGTAGGTTAGCCAGCTAGCATCGCAGAGCAGCACTGCTGAGCATGTTAGCTTAGCTTTAGCCTCAGCTAGATCCGGAGCTTCCAGCTCCAGACGGCAGGGTGACTCCGCCTTTTTCGTGCTTCACAGCAACTCTGCAGAAAGCTATGGGTGACGTCACAGTTGGGGGTGGGGCATTTAGAGGGGGAAAACAATCCCCCTCGCCCGGAGCACTGTAAGCGCGCGGATTTTAAATGTTAAACAAACATGTCATACATTGATTCATTGCAGCCCATTGACAGGGATAGATACAGGGCCGCCCCTGGCCAACTTGGGGCCCCAAGCGACATTGTGAGATGAGCCCCCCCCCCCCACCGACAGGAGTAAAAAAAATGTTTTTGGAAACAAAGTAGGCTAATTTGCAAATATAAATCCTGTTTACTATTATTATCACACAGTTACTTTTGTATACAGTGAGGTAAATGGTAAATGTGCATGTATGTCGTTCAGTATGCGTTTACAGCTGAATACGTCTGCATTTCCTGCCAAATACTAGCCTCAAAAAGATTACAATATAATTAATGCAAATAAACTACTTCTACTACTAATAATAATCATAATCAATTCAATAATATAAATACTATATTATTGTATTGTAATATAGTTGTAATAGTCAAGACAAAACATGCTTATTACATGATCAAAAACTGATATTTCTTAAATCTGTATTTAAATGTAGTTCCCTCTGTCAGCAATGTATCAACAACTACACACACATTTATATCAGTATTTCTCTGTGTTGTGGTTGACATGATGATGACTGTTAGGAGTTAAGGGGAGAGGCTTAGCATCACCATGAAATGTGCAAATTGACATAAAAATGAATAAAAGGGGAAAAAATGCTCCATGTTTTTTAGGCTGTAAACTTTAACTGTTATGTAAGCCAACTAGACAGACAGTTTATCACTCTTCCTCCGGTACATTAGCAGATCAAAGCCATAAAATACTTGAATGAATGTTAAATAAAGAATGCTGGCAATAACTGCATCTCCATTAGCCTGTATGCTCTGCAGAGACTGCCTTCTTCATTTCGTGAATTGCAGCTGATGTTTTAATATGGCAATTTGCAATTTGACTTATACAACATTCGCAAGTTGTACATTTGACTCATACAATAACCCACCTTCGAGTGATGCTCTAGTTTCTTCATGTTTTGTTTTTTTCCCCTCTTGCTTGCGCTGGACTGAAACTGTCTTTTCACCGACATCTCTTCACCTGCACTAGTGGCCGTATCAAAGCCGTGATTGGTCAGATGTTGATTCATTGCAACGGTGTCGGGTTACAGACGTGCTCCCCTTGTCACCTCTCACTCTCACTCTTGCGGGGGTGCGCTGAGAACTGCGCACAGCAGCTGAGGCCCACTGGGCGGGGCCCCCTGCGCAAGGCGGGGCCCCATGCAGCCTGCGTGATTGGCCTGTAGGGAGGGGCGGCCCTGGATAGATACCTTACAAATTTTTATTTAATAGGATCGGATTCTTGTCCATATCTTAGTGGACGAATGATCCGACTGAATGGCCTGAAGTTTCATTCCCTGATATCTTCTGCTACCTGGTTGAATCACCCGGTAAGAGGCAAAATCACGTTAACTGATGAATTAAACCTCACATAATGTATATGTCTGACAAGGAAATTAGCACGTTTTAGTGAATTTGTTCATCACACAATGGTTGTTATTGCACAATAGCCATTATGAGCTGCATATACATATTGGTTATTGACGACTCGGTACGTTATATCACGCAGGGATTTACACACACAGCAGCCTAAAGAACTATCGGTCCCTGGAGGCACACAACTTTTTTACAAGTGGCTTTGTTGGAGTTGTGCTCCATCATAAACTACCTTCATCGGATACCTACCTGTTCCGATGTGATGTAAAGCCATCCTGGAGGGTGACAGAGAAGACGCACCAGACGTGGGTAGCAGTTAAGGGAGAGGGTACCATCGTCGCTGCCCACTGCAACTGCATGGCAGGGTACGTTTGTGAAAGCGTTCATTTGTTTGTGCGTGCCATAAATACGTCCAAAATATATCAAAAATGTTCTTAAAGGAATGGTATGCTCATGACAACTCATTTTTAAATAATTATCATCCGATAAAACAGACCAGTCTCTGCCAGTCTTCTTCTTTTTTTTTTTAATCCGATGACATTATCAGTGATTTTAAACTGATTAATTACCGAAATAACATCAACACTGTGGGCGGCGCCATTTTACCGGACGTGACGTAAACCATGCGTTTGGTTTCGAGGACACGTTGATGTTCATGTTATTTACTGTAGTTACTCTCTTCAAATATGCCTCATTGTATCGCGAAACATTGCCACAATTCTGATAGGAACAATCCACGGAATGCTCGGTTCCATTTGTTGCCAAAAGGGAAGCGTAGGAAGTACGTTCGGAGGCAGTGGCTAGCGAAATGTGGCCAGCCCGAACCGAAAGATCCACAGGCGCATGTATGCAGCGAACATTTCAAGTTTCCGGACGACTACTCTGAGAGTATGATAAAACATAACATGGGATTTATTGAACAACCATTACTTAATGGAGATGCAGTACCATCGGTCTTTCTGGTGTCATCACCGACCAGGACACCAGTTCGGCCAGTTGAGAAATCGCCCTCTGCAAGTGTGAAGCGACGGAGGACCAGAAGTAGTGCTCGGAGTAAGAATAAGGTATGTTATAGCGCATTTCCATTGCAGCGGGTAGCCCCGTTTAAACGTCCTTTATCGTCCAGGCCAAGCCAGTTTTTGGTGGCCTTTCCATATAGCGTAGTACCGGCTAGTGGGTATTTTCCCCCAGTTTTTCCGGCCCCATAAAATCGTGGTTCTAGGGCCAGGGACAACGAGGCTGAGTATGCTAAACTAGAGAGGGAATCGCTAGCAAGGGTGGTAGTACATGCATAAATATCTAGTAATCAAAATCATTGTATCTACTAAGTAGTACTAAGTAGGCTCGAACCTGTATGGCTGAATTCCCCCATCCAATCTCTTCATATTGCTCAAAACTTCTTCCTCGGCTGACGAGTCCGAACTCAAATACTCCGCCAAGTTTTCGTGTGTTTACAAAGTGAACGCATGGATGACGTCACAACCATCACGTGACTACTGAAAATGGGCAAAATGGCAGCGGCCTGACGGAATATACAGGTTTTGATAAAAAAGAGCTATAAAATCATTATTTACCGGGGAATATCGCTGATTTCTTCAGGGTATGGTTTAAACATAATGTTTCACTAAATACTGAAGTTTTGATTAATTATCTAATGAGTGGAGCATTCCTTTAAAGAAATTCACCAGACAGGGCAGTATTATGTAAAATCTTAGGCCCAATATCTTTAGTGATCGAGAGCTAATGGATATTTTTTGCCTTCCTTTTCAGTCTTGGTGAAAGTTGTTCCCATGTGGCTGCTGTTTTTTTTAAATTAGAGGCTTGTGTCCGCATGGGGATCAACAAAGTGCCATGCACAAGCAAAGCCTGTGAGTGGAACAAGACGTGTGTTAAAAAGATTGAGCCTGCTCTTGTTGCAGAGAGAACTTTTTACACAGAGGACAAGACGTCAAAAAAAAGGAAAAGGAAAGCCCCTACCCCAAAAGCATTTTTATCACAGCAGCAGCAGTTCCTCACTATGCTGGCTGACAGATCACCTGACTGTGGTATTAAATAGTTTCATGGGTTTTTCCAGGCCTTTTAAGAAGCCATGGTGTTTCAGCCAGCATGAGGTGACTGAGGAGGAGATCGAAAATGTGGAGAGAGCAACCATCCGTCAGGCATCCTGTGTGCAATGGCATCAAGAGCGGGTTGGTCGCATTACAGGCTCCATAGCCCACCGTGTCTTAACAGCTACAGAACATCCTAGCAAGTCACTGATCAACACCATATGTGAACAAAGGCACAGGCCAATAATGAAGCCCTGGATTCAGTGGGGGAGACACCATGAGCAAGATGCCATTGACACTTATCAATATGCTCTTGGAGCTGGGAGCCCCACAGCCAACCTGTCTTCCACCATTTACATCTGTGCCCCAGTAGATGCACCACATCAGAACCTGGTCATCAGAAAGGCTGGCTTCCGCATCTGCCAAACTATGCCATACCTGGGGGTTTCATGTGATGGCTATGTTTCCTGTGACTGCTGTGGTGAGGGTGTTATAGAGGCTAAGTGTCCTTACAGGTGGGGGCAAGACACCTCTACTGGGTACCAACAGTGGCTTGAGGACAAAAGAGGACATCTGGAAAGTCTGACAAGCTTAAAGAGAAGTCATGCATTTTTCAATATTTCACTTGCATATACCTGCACACCTCTAATAAGTCTGCAGCATTTTGTGCAATTATCCAAGATAATTATCCACAGATGGCATACTGTCTATAATGTACATATTAGTGTTATGATGATTGCATTGCATTTGATTGCATTTGACAGGTCCAAATGCAGATGTTTGTTACCAAACGGATGTATGCAGACTTCATCACTTGGACTCCTCAGACCTGCCTGAGTACAAAGAGATGAGGACTTCATTGGTGGTGCCATTAATGTGATGCAAACATTTTGGTCACAACACATACTACACAAACTTCGGGAGCTGAAAGATGCACAGGTAGGTGGTTGAATTTCCTATCAGTGTAAAAATGGCAACAAATAAGTCACTGTGACAGAGTTACATATTTATTTATACCAATTCATTTTGAAGCATATTATAGCTATTTCATTCAGTATCAACATAGACTACTAGACTATATGTACAAAATCAAATATCACAAAGCCTATACATTTATTTACAACATGAAAACATACATAGGCTACAAATAGAATGAATCAAATGGGCTGTACAATATTGTCTATACTTGTGACTTTGATACTAATCAGATAATAATTGTTAATATTGTTGATCAAATTGTTCTTGTGTTCTTTTCAAAGGGGGTGTACTCATTTATGATAAGCACTGTATATGTTTCTGCTAAGTAGGCAGAACACAGTCCAGTCGAAAGTAGCACAGGGAGTGATCCATCAGGCAACACAAGTGGCAGCAGAACATCAGGCAACAGAGGCAGAGCGTCAGGCATCAGAGGTAGAGCGTCAGGCATCAGAGGCAGGGTGACAGGCATCAGAGGCAGGGTGACAGGCATCAGAGGCAGGGTGACAGGCATCAGAGGCAGGGTGACAGACATCAGAGGCAGGGTGACAGGCATCAGAGGCAGGGTGACAGGCATCAGAGGCAGGGTGACAGGGTGTGCAGCAGCAGAGCAGCACTGAGATAAGTTCAGGGACCTGTGGAAAGACAAACAACAGGTGGTTTTGATTAGAAAGATCCATTATGTCTCAACTGAAACCTGTTAAATGGCACAATTGGAACAATAATGACTTCTTTATTGTATAAAAAAGTTACATAAAATATTGTTCTCTGATGCTCATTATTAAATGACTGCACATTGATTTTGTTCTTACTCTCAGATTCTGTAACGGTTGTACATGACACTGCCAGACAAGTTCATTAGTGCTGCACAGACATGCACAATCCTATCAATCATGGCCTCTTCTCTCTTCTGTCTTTCATCCTGCAGTCTCTTCACCAGGCGCAGAGGAAGTGGGCCATCCAGACAGTCGTTAGTAATACTTATCTATAAATTGTGTACATATACACAGACAGCCAGGTAAGTATTACAAAAACCCGACACTTTATGCATGCTATCAAAAAGAAAAATATCTCACCTTGTTTTCAGCTTCTTTGAGTGTTCAATTCTGATCTCAAAGCAGTCGATAATTGCAGTCACTCTAGGGTACTGGAAGAGAACCTCTGCTGGTACTGTGCTTCTGATACACTCTATCAGGCCATTTAATAAAAAAAAGAAATGTTGGCGTACATCAAATCCAACCATCGGGAGAATACATCCAGGAAAGTGCTATATCTATGTGCCGGGTCAAATATTCCACACATCATATCGGTTGAGGGGTTCTGCCGCAGTTTCACCAGAGTAATAAAGAGCTGGTCTTGTGTTGACATCTTGGATGTTTTCTGTGACTTAACAAACTGTACCAGGTACTGATGAAGAGTGTCAAATACTGTCCATGACAGGCCTGTCATGACTTTACATTTAGTGTCATTTTCTCTCACAGTGTTTACCGACATTTTCAACATCTCCAATTCTCTGATGGCTTCAGCTCGCTCCTTCATGGCCTCATCTCTTTCTCTTCTTAAATTATACAATTCTTCATAAAGTTGTTTTCTCTCTAACTCCTGAAGAGGTATGGGAGCTTCTGATGTTGGGGATTCTGGTACCGGGGCTTCTGGTGCTGGGCCCTCTGATGTTGGGGATTCTGGTTGGGCAGACTGAACACCCTCACGCTTCCTCCTTCTCTCCAGCCTCTGAAGTACTGACCTGGGAGACTTTGTCTTTTTATGTGGGAACAGCGAGGGTGTGTAGTCTGGGTGGGCTATGTCCTCGTTTTTTAAGCCTATGGGCAAGACAGTTCACAAACGAAATGAGAAGGGGATAGAAAGGGGTGAAATACATTTGAACTGCAGAAAGCTCGGAAGCTACCACCAGTGTTGTTAGCATAGCTGTGTTTTTGTATACTCAAGCAAGGTAGCCTGCATAACGTAGTAGTTAGTTAACTTATCTTAAAACTAGTAATTGAACATTCATGTTAACTACGAAACAATTTAACACTGTTATTGTGTGAATAATGTTGTCATACCTGTAATGAAGTGCTGACTACAGACGTACACATGTTTGGATTTTGGATCCCACAGGTGGCCAAACTCATCCTCCCGACGGATCGCTTGAAGCCACCGGGTTCTTCTCCTGGGCTCTGTGCTCCCGTTGGGCAAAATATAACATTTTAGATTTGGATTTTTAAGCTTGTTAGTTGTAGAAAAGGGCACACAGCAGCTCCTGGGCATTGTGGAAGCCGGTTTGTTTTCCCCCTCAGCGCGAACCGGATGTGACGTTTGTGTGCGTTCCCTCGCTTGCCGACTGTAGCTGTGGTAGCCACGTGGTTGGGATGGGACTGCAGCACACATCTTCAACCAGTTTTTCTGTGATTGGATGTTTCTATATGATCATCTGTGGTTGGATCTTGTACTTTCCCTAGCTCTGGTGCCTAAATGTATGTTGGCTAGGTTTTTTCTTTGCCATGGTTGTGACTCATTAATAAATGGGAATGTGTTTTGCACTTTACAATAAGGCTCCCTTTTGGCAGTTATAAATGTTAGTAACTCATTCATAAATGCAGTAGCGTGGCGTGGGGAAAAAATGAGGGGAAGCCAATAATACGTCCTTTCTTTTGGGTCGGGGGTGTGGTGGTCAATGTAATAACGTAACCAGATGAGTGATTACAGCACCCGGTATCATTTTACACACCTAACCGACAGGTCCGCACCTGGTCCGCACGCACTCTCCAGCCGAAACTCTAATAAGCATTCATTCACAAACTAAATCAGGAGACCTTTAACGTTTTACGTCCGATTCGCTCCTTTTTTCCTCGCTGTACACAGCTCCAGTTTGGGCATTGGCCTGTCATCAGATTGTATTTGTTGTTGCTGCTGTAGCGGAAGTTTAGTACAATTATTTTTGATTAAATACTCTAAATCTCCACCCTCCATATTAATTGCACTTGCTTCAATTGCTTGCTACTTTCTAACGGCGGTGAGAGTGGTGCAGTGACGCAATCTATCTTCTATCGATTCGATTTATGATTCGAAAATTATAAAAGTAGGGTAGACATGTGGATATTATCCGACTTAACAAAACGTGCATTTATCTAACAGGTTCGTTTTCCACTGACCTTATTTCGAGCTATTTTCCAAAATCCTATGGAGAAATCCCATTGCCTTTTTGTCGAGGGAAACCCATGGGGAAACCGAGCGCAGCTTACTTCCAGGTTTTAGGATGCGTCACTGCCACACTAAATTGATGCGATTTGATTGGATTGTGAGGCAAGGGAAGCCAGCCGCCTCTGGCTTCCCTTGGCATGGCACTGACTAATCACAGGTTGGCAGGGGCATGACGTGAGCCTTTTCTGATTGGTCAATCCCTCCATTTTTTTTCACCAAGGGAAGCCAATTTCTGCTGGCCTCCTCTCGCAACAGAGAGTGCAATCTACTGTTTCACCATAACCAACACACTCTCACTCCATAATTGTCCAGGAGCGATGTTTGGTCAGGGTCCCGTGGCGTGCAGTTGTGACGCTCCTAGGCTCCTTCAGCTTCATAAAGGGACGCAAATAGCTTTCAACTGATTGCAATGTATTCCCATCTGCGGCGGGATTTGACGCTCATGCAAGCACGGCATTCGTTTGTGTCGGCTGCCCTTAAAGGCAATGTGAGCGTCCATTCCCATTGGATAACGGAGAATTGTACACCCGGAAGTAAGTATTCCCCTTACTGTCGATTGATTTTACAGTGATATCTGCACTACTCATCGACTAAAAAACACCAGATTATCCTTAATTAATTTAATTTTATCAGTGTAATTGCTGATATATTTATGATCCACATCACGTTTTCAGTTCCTCATGTTTGTCTAGAAGTCTTCTCATCAGGGCTCTATAAATAGAGAACTACGGCAGATATATAATATTTAATGCAGCCGAACCGTGTATTACAATGCCGTTATGTGATGACTTTCAAAGAGAAAAGCAAGCACACTCGGAATAAAGTATTATTATTATTTTTTTTAAATGTTTTCGGTCTGTTTCCGGTATTTGTTAATGACGATGTGCTGTGAGATGTGAGACTGGAATTGTACAGGGGAAAATAACGTATCTTTAGATGCGGATTTTGTTAAACTAATACGTTTACGCTGTGGACCAACACTATACATTGACGGGGAAGGGGGTAGCAATAAAGATAACACCATTAAACAGTTACACAACATAGGCTAACAGAAATAATATCGATAGCAGTTAGCATTCATAAAAGTCAGTCAATGCTTTCCAAAAGCACGAGCAGTGAACTCCAGGCCCACGTGTCTGAACTAAAGATTGAAAGAAACAGACTAAGAAATGACGTAAGCTCCATGATCAAAACTGCCAAAAAGAATTTCATCAATGTCAAAACTGAGGAAAATAAACCCTGTGAACTTTGGAAATTACTCAATAACCAGCTTGGCTGCAGTAAAAAACTCAAAACGAGATTTTCTAACTTAAACATAAAGACAGATAACAGGCTCATCACAGACAAACTGGATGTGGCCAAGTACTTGAACATTTTTTTCACAAACATAGCCACAACTCTTGTAAATAAATTACCCTCCCACTCAGGGCTTTTTGGAGTAGATCACATCATGACCTACTACAAAAACCTAGGGGTACGCAAAGATGATTTCAGTCTAGCAAGGGTAACAACAGCAGAGGTACTCATTAAACTGAGCGCCCTCCAACCTAACAAGGCCACTGGCCACGACAATATCCCCTCCAAATTCCTCAGAGACACAGCAACCGCCATCTCACCAGTCATAGCTCACATAATTAACCTCTCCATAAAACAGGGAAAAGTACCCAAAGACTTCAAAATTGCAAGAGTAACCCCCCTGCACAAAAAGGGCAGCAAATTGGACCCAGGCAACTACCGCCCTGTTTCTATACTTACCTCCATCTCGAAAGTCATGGAAAAAATAGTATATGAACAGGTCGAAAAGTACCTCGCGGAAAAGAAACTAATCTATGAATTTCAATCTGGCTTTAGAACATCCCACTCCACTGACACATGCCTTCTTTATTTGAGCGACCACATCAAACAAGAGGTGGACGAGGGCAAGTACTGCGGCATGGTGATGCTGGACCTACAAAAGGCTTTCGACACTGTCAATCACCCCATTCTGATTGACAAGCTAAAAGCAATTGGTTTTGATAAACTATCGGTGAGCTGGATGCAATCCTACCTGGAGGGGAGAGAACAGATGGTGGAGGTAAATGGTACTCTGTCCCCCCCCCTCCCAGTGAGCTGTGGTGTTCCACAAGGAAGCATATTAGGTCCGTTACTGTTCCTAATTTATGTAAATGACATGTCATCAGCATGTGACTGCAACTTGTTCCTGTTCGCGGACGACTCAGCCCTGCTGGTCTCTGACAGGAACAGGTTGCAGGTTGAAAAAACCCTCAGCTCCGAGCTCGGCAGAATCTGCACCTGGCTCGCCGATAATAAATTATCATTACACCTGGGTAAAACAGAGTCCATTCTCTTCGGTTCGAAACATAATCTCAGCAAATCCGACGACTTCTCAGTTGCAGTGGGCGACATTATTGTCACAAGTAAGAAGGAAATTACATACCTAGGATCTATTCTTGAGGCAAACCTCTCCTGTGACAAAATGGCATCCAATGTAATAAAAAAAGTCAATCAAAGAACTAGATTCCTATACCGGATCTCCTCTCTGGTAAACAAAAACACCCTGAAAACTCTGGCAGGAGCACTCATTCAAGGGTACTATGACTATGCTTGCACGTCATGGTACCACAGCACCTCCAAGGCGCTAAAAATAAAACTTCAAACATCGCAAAATAAACTGGTCAGACTACTGCTTGACCTTTCATCTAGAACCCACCTCACCTCTGCCCACTTTGACAACCTAGGATGGCTTAGAGTAGACGACAGAGTACAGCTACTTGCAATGGGCCTGGTCTACAAGATCCACTACACCTCTATGGTACCCATGTACATGTCAAAATTCTTCCCAAAGGTCAAGGAATACCATGATCATAACACCAGAGGGAGCTCCACAAATCATGTGAAACCCAGATTTGGCACAAAAAAGGGGGAATACACGTTTCGCAATTATGCCACATCAAGGTGGAACGCTCTTCCCACAACTGTAAAGGAAAGTAAAACTATACTTACCTTCAAAACCTCTCTTAAAGAGCACCTTCGGGGGAGAGCATTGCAAAACTGGCCCCGGTAATGGTACAAATCTCAACCTGTCGTTCAATGGACAGCTTCCCCCCCCCCCCATCTATGTATATACTCGCATTTTAGACACTGTTACTAACTGTATATCTGTAGACTTGGTATGTCTTAAATGTCCGGTTAGGATGTATTAGAACGAAATCTAAAATGAAAATTGTAAATAAGCAATCTGTATGTAAAAAACCACCAGTATGTAAATTGTAAATAAGCCATCTGTATGTCAAATATGTCTTAAATGATATGATGAATTGGAAATGGGGGACCCTGATGTAAACAAGACGAAAGTCTTTCTCTGGTCTGCATCCCCTTGACAATTGTATGTTTTGAGCTGTACTGTACTGTACCCAATATACAAGCTGTTAATAAACTTTTCAATCAATCAATCAATCAATCAATCAGCAGCGTCCCTAGCAACCACCTTGGTAACAATGAAAACGTTCTATGGACGCAATTTCCTGAAGTAATCTTCGTAATAACTAGCAAACTAAAGATCATGTACATCCACTGCACACATAATCTGAAATAACAACTCATAGTTCTCGCATCAAATGACATCAAAACGCATTTTAATGGGCAAACTAACTTTGAAATAGGCCTTTTCCACCGAGAATAAAACGAAGTTCGGCCATGTTTTTTTTTTCTGCAGGGAGAAATTTGAAGATCACGTGACATAGACGCCAGCCATTGGAATGAATGGTGAAAAAACGGGGTTTGTTTGTTTGTCAAACAGAGCACAAGGTGTAGTCCTAAACGATAGCTGGGGATTCTGGGTAGTGTAGTGTCTTCTGCCATCCTTTACTCCGAAAAATTATTTGTTTCTCCGAATCGAAAGGGAAAAATACAAAAGCATTGCACACAATTTAAACCAATCAATGTTGTGTAATTAACAAGGATAATCTGGTGTTTTTTAGTCGATGAGTAGTGCAGATATCACTGTAAAATCAATCGACAGTAAGGGGAATACTTACTTCTGGGTGTACAATTCTCCGTTATCCAATAGGAATGGTGGCTCA